TCTTGTAGATGGGCATCACATTGGCAAGCCTCCAGTCATCCTGTTAACCAGGACTGTTGATAGATGATATCAACATCATGATAGATGATGGAAAGTGGCTTGGCAAGCTCCTCTGCCAGCTCCCTCAGTACTCTTGGGTGGACTCAGTCTGCTGACTTGGTGGAGTCAGTAGACTCCACACTGGGGCGGTGTGGGGGGGAAATCTGGCCAATAAAGTCCCGCACCATTCTCAAGAGAAATAAAAATGTGTAACATCATAGGAAGCCATATACTGTAGCACTCATGTCTTACCTTTATTTCCTGATCCAGGTAGCTCAGATCAGAATTCACGTTCTCCTGGATGCGAGTATCGTAATCCAAGTTGACAAATGGAGAGGAAGGCTGGGTGAGAGGTGCGGTGTGGATTCCCTGTCTATTTGCAGGTTGTGCAGAGGCTTGGAATTGTTTTTTCCAAAGCTTTTCCAAAACAGAAAACTGTGTAAAGGAATGGCTTGACTCCATTTAAGCAGCAGTTAAAGGCAATGTGAAGTATATGGCTAACACTAGTCCCCAGCAAGGGTGTGCAGCAGAAGACACATCTAAAACTGTTATTTGGTTGCATATGACCATCTATAGGTTAATTGCATAGGTTAATGGTTACAGCTTCTAATATACAGTCACCAGTAATAATAATAGATATCCATGGCATAATGTGTAACATTGGATAAGAATGAAAGTGATGCCAGGTAACTACTGATGGAAATCAGATGGGGAAGGGATTAAATCTGGACCTCTGTGACCTGTTTGCTTTTCCATTATGGGTTTGTAGTGTGCTGCTGAGCCACTACTCTTCCTTTCTCTATGTGCAGGCTTCACCAGTCTATTAAAAGGCCCAGAAATAAAAATGTGATTGGCAGAAGGTTCTGTTTGTAAGTGCAGAGGAAAAGCAAAAGGCAGGTAATAGCTATTAAGAAACAGTACTGAGTGTGACTATATGGCAGTATCTGTCCATTATGTAGTTATTTTGCAGCCAAACCACAGTATAGAATCACAGAATCATAGAATTGTTTAGGTTGGAAAAGACCTTTAAGATCATCCAGTCCAACCATTAACCTAACATTACCAAGTCCACCACTAAACCAATTAAGGGTAGAGTAGCAAGTAAATACAGTTTGAAGAACTGTGTTCTACATGTATAAGTGAACAGTAAAAATAAAGCATGGTCTTTACTATACCCAGCTCAGGAACCAAAGAGCAACATTTAGACAGACACCCACCCCTCAGTTAAAATGAAAAACGAGGAGAAAAGTGAGTCCTTATTTTTAGCATCTTTACTGCAAAACGTCTCCGTAGTGCCCTCTGCTGCCCAGTACCAGTGCAGCAACACTTGCTTTTTCTCAAGAGTGTGCAGTCCTCTTTGTGATACCGTTTGTAATGGAATACTAACTTAGCCCTCAGCTCCCCTACGGTCGCAATAGAGGAGACAAGTAATTAGATAGCCTGCAGCTTGAGACTAAAGAGCTATTGTAGAAAGAGTCTTTTACTGGAATTTATTTAGCACAGCTGCAAAGCTGGACCTAAACACCAGCGTGCTGCTATTACAAAACACTGTCAGCAAAAGTAAAACTGTTGGCAGTAAGAAATCTAAAGAACCTTTGTGTTGTGAGGGGAGGAGGCTTTTTCCTGTGCTTGTTTGCTGTATGGTGGGATGTTTTTTCCCCAGCAGTTTGAAACAAAGTGCATTTTATTCCTATCTTCATTGGGTTTGACCATTTTTCTTGCTAGCAAAGCACAGTGACATTACAGAGCTGAAAGTGATACAGTTATAGCTTGGTTATCACCCTACTTGACACCATGTCCCTTCCTAGCTCTCGTGTTCTACATGGGGGATCCTCACATCCCTCTTTTTGGTTCTGCTCTGTCCTCCTTAGCAGTCTGAGACTGTCAGTTCATGTTACACTGTTGAGAAGCGAGAGAAAGAGTGCCAAAATAGAGCTGTGTCTTTTTTCCCCTTACCTTTTCAGATGAAGCAGGGTTATTTTGAATCCTTTCAGGAACATCTGCACGTCCTCCTGGAAATCAACAGGCAGAGTGTTTTCTCAAGTTGAAAAACAAAGGCCATAAGATACAGCTTATGTTATATCAGGGTGGGGCAGCATTTTTAATTACAAAAATGCACAAGCCATATTTTAGATATCTCTAAGGGGATGTGTTTCTTTCCTTTTTTGTTTGTTTGCTTTTACTACCTCACATAGTACATTAATGCAATTATTTGCTGAGATGCCTAAGAGATCTGAAGAAAATCCTGGAAAGTGTATTTCACAGATGCATGCTTATAGTGCTATGTAACCACTACTTCAGAATGTTGCTTACGGATGGAATAATTGTTGATAATTGTGAAATTATTAGATGTCTATTGAGCATATAATTTCTAAAAGCTATAAAGATGCAAGGGTAATTAGTGAGGAGAAATCTTATAAGATGTGGTGACTAACACACATAGAAGGGAAGAAATACTTGCCTTTTAAATATACATTCATTGACCTATCTTCCCTTTACCTGGACCTGAGCTGTGATGACACAGTGCCCTGGCTGAGACCCAGTTGCACCTTTAACAGCTCAGGTTCCTCTTGTGCTGCTGTATAATATAGCAGTTTGGTGCCTCTACTCACGTGTCACGGACTGTGGAGTGCCTAGCTCCCTCTGCATGAAATGCTGGGGCTTTGGAAGGTAGCAGTTGGCAGATGTGTTGCTTGTGGCATTCCCAGGTAGCACCTGTTCTGGATCAGCTTCTTGCCCATGGATGACTGTGTTGCCAGCAGATGGGTGTTCTCCTGAAAAGCTACTTCTTACAACACAGACCGGAGCATTGTTTAATCCTGTGCAAAAAACCAAAGGATAGAGTCTTTACTACAATAAACACACAGAGTTAACTTAGCAGATGATCTCCAAGGAGAGTCTGTGCTGGAAGAATTGAAAACTGAGGTATCAAACCTGAAATTTGTATGTAATAATACAGGGCTTACGGAATGGTGTGTAAACAGTGAATGAACTTGGCATACTTGAATAGACAGCAGAGGGATGTCAGCAGTCTGTTACAGAGGACGGTGTGATCAACCACAACCTGATCAGTGATGATGTTCCAGATGAAATCTGGAGAGTGGCCACGCAGGGTGAAGCACACTCACTTAGCAATGCCCATCAGGAGATAAGTATCATTCTTCCGCCTCTCTTAAAAAGCTTGTGGTTTTCAGTGAGAGTCGCAGCATTTAATGAAGAACTAGAATCCTCCTTTCTTAGTCAGGGTAAAAGGAATTTTAAACAACCACTATTTTTATCATTAATGAAGTCAGACTGGCAAAGAAGCAGCGCTATTAAGTAGCTGATGAGGATTTTCAGAACCTTGATTCTGTTTAGTATCTGACATAAGACAAATACGAAGCAGAAAGTAATTACAGCTAAACATTACTCTGCTGAGAGTACAAAGATATCCACCAAATTAATCTGGCTAAGCCATGTAAGACTTTGGTCTTTGCTGGCTGTGGTCTGCTCGTCTTTCTTACCAGGTTCTAGAAAAAGAGAGATACGCACACAAATACATACTTTATTTTTTATGTCTTGATATTTTTACTTTAGGTAGATTATATATATGTATATGCACACACAGACACACAGAATTGTGTACATTATATGCTGGGTGGTCAATCTGAAAGGAGTCGTCTTATTTTGTTCCTCCAAAGGCATCCCTTCTGAGATGCAAGAAATTCAGTTTTATTCAGAACTGATTTGGTCCTGCATCACCCTTCATCCCTTATTACAAAAGTTATATCACAGACTCATCAACTAAGACCAATCCTGATCTACTTATTCTAACAGTCCCCAAGGAGCTTGGCAGAGATTTTTTTTTCCCTTCATGATGCTTCTGTGCCTTCTGCAGTGTAAATCTGGCCGTGTGTCAGCAATTTACTTTCAGCCGCTGCCAGAAAGATGTCTTTGTGCAAACATACAGGGTCAGCTTCTGAAACAAAAGCCCATCCCTAGAAGTACTGTTTCTTCTGCTGATGCAGATGGCACACTGATTTCGACTGTATGCCTTTCAGGTGCAGGCAGAGTAATCACAGCTAGATCTAGCACACAGTAGAGCAGCACAGTGTTTTTAGAGCACCAGGTTACTCTTACTAAATGCTGCATTGTGTAATATGTTGCTTCTGGAAAGGTACAAGAATTATTTAAGTGAGAGTGAAATAGAGAAAAAACTTGTGACAGCCTGTTTCTGGCACCTACAGTACACTTGTGAACACAGAAGGAAAGAGGAAGAAATTATTTTAGCTTGAAAGAAATTATTTTAGCTTAAAAGAAATCCCAGACAGTTGTCTTGGTGAAATAATTTTAGTTGTAGCTTGTAAAGAATTTAGTGCTGCTAACCTTTGCATTACCAACCTGAGATTATTCATTGCTGAAGACAAGATGCTTAGTGGATTGAAATGAAGGTAATGGCTTTTTTTGATTAAATACTTCTATTAGACAGAAATAGGAAATGGGAGCAGTGGGTACTTTTGGAACAAAGTCACGTTACACTCACATTTCTCTTTGTGCCTGCCAGGGCAGCTGTCCAGGCTATCTGTGTGGTCCCTCAACAGCTCTTACCTGGTATGTGACAGACCATCCTAGGATGGGGAATGTTCCTGGAGAAGTAGTACATTCCCTCTGAGCAGCTAGACTGAGAGTAACGCCGGTTGTACTTCCACATGTTGTGGTTGAACTGAGGTTCATACACTGACTTGAAATTGGTATTAGTTGTGTAAACTTTCTTATTCTCTTGCAGTGTCTTTCTGCAGAGCAGGTTGGCTCTTCTGCTGATTGCCTGAGGCCAAACACTGGAGGTGAAGTAAAGAAAATAAACTCACATGGACTGAAAGGTAGCAGAAACGTCAATTACTGTTTTTCTTGTTATTTTTACCTCTTCTGTATACAATTGGGAGAAGCTGTAAGCACAGGTGGGTGGAAGCAAGCTACCTACTGCTCCGCTCCTAAGTAGTTACCTCAGGCAACCAGTGCTGCTTGTGGGCACTTTCCAGTTGCTTTTATTTTCTTGCAGTTTCTGCTCTGGAGCTCAGCTGCTCCTCGCCGTGCATCTCTGAGACCCCTTTTTGTAATAACAGACTATATTGAAGCAGGGCAAGTGGATTGCTTTCTGACTTGTGACAAGAAGGGCAGGGACAAGTGACAATAGCAAAGGAGATGTCCAGGCCTTTTTGGTTTCTATCTTTACTAAAGGTTGTGTATGCTGAGAGGCAGTCCCATGTCTCTTAATACTTGGTATCTGTTCTAGATTTTGGTTTTAGAGGTTGAATAATAGATCAGTAGCTGTTATTACCATTAACTTGTTTTATTTTTCCTTTTCTGTAGTAGCAGTCACTAATGTTCACAGTGTTCTTTGCCTCTGGCACTTGCTTAGGATACTCAGTACCATAACATCTAAGACTGGGAGCATCCTAAGAATGGTGCTTTATCGGGGGCACCTTGCAAATGTCACACAGAGGGGTTAGCTAATCTATTTCGTGATGATCCACAATCAAGTTTATCAAACATAAGAAATTCACCTGGAAGAGCTGCTGGCTATAAGAGCCTGGATGGGCTGAGAACGGAATAAGCATTCCATCAGTTATCTGTTTGGGTCAGGAAACAGCATATTTTAAGGACTATGTGGAGAGAAGAGGGTTGGGAAAGGACAGGACATCTTTTTAAGCAACTCTTAATGTTTTGCAAGGTTACATTTTTATTCCATAACTACGTCTAACTGGGGGAAGAACTCGAGTGAACTGACAGATTTTGCAACGTGCACAGAAGGTCAACAGACGTGAGGAGGCTTGCCCATCTGAAAACAAAAAGTATAAATTCCAGAGTTGAAGGTCTTGCATTAAGGCCATCCTATGCCCTGATAAACCAGCCGAGGCAAGGTCAGCGTTTGTCGCCTGTGAATCATCACAGTTCAGTGCACGAGGAGGCAGGGTGGAAGCTACAGTTCACAGAAATGGTTTGTAGCTTATGGCAAGCTCACCCTTTTTTTTTTCAAATTTAAAACACCCGTATCTCCTGATAGCAAAAGTAAAAATACACGTCTTCTGATTTTGGTTGTAGCGGATTGATTGAATAATTGAAATAATGAAAACTGGCTCTTTTGTGTAGCATCCTGATTGCATTTGTATTTCTCAGCCAACTTTTATAACTTTGATTTAAAAAAAAATTAATTGGGAGACTAGCTTTTCCAAAGCCCTATAATTTTTTTAAATGTGTAGTACTTACCACAAAATATTCTCTCCATATGCTTGAGATTAAATGCTTACTCGAAATGGTGTATGAAGTAACTGGTAGGAACAGAAAACATTCTTTTTTTTTTCCTGGGTCTTCTGATTTTCTACGTAATCCTACTTATGTTTTTATGTTGGCTACCTATAAAGGACTAACTATATGTAACTGAAGTTTTTAAAAATGAAGTTCATGTGGGAGGGTTCTCTTCTTTACTAAATTGTTTAGTGGATTTTCTTTGGTAATCTAAACTGTCTTGTAAAACATACTTTTAGAATCTCACTAGTTATTTACAGCCTCAGAGTATTATATACAATAATTGCTGGTACAATATGTTTTGGGGATTTTAGGGGTGTTACTTTACCAAAATAGCAACTTAGGACATTCGATACCATGAACAATTGGATGTTTGACAGAACAATGTTACCAGCCAGCACTGTCATTTTTATATTATAGATAAAATGACACCCAAAATGTTGACCATCATTGCAGTATTCAAAAGTACTTAAAGGTTTCCCATTTCCTTACGAAGGATGTGTACGGCAGTTATTTAGAGTAGTATTATATCTGACTGTGTTAATGGGCTCTCCAGAAAAAATGTAACTTATGTCATTTTTTGCTTTCTCACCAGTTCTCAGTCTATACCCAGAAAGCACGTAAGTGACGGTGTAATGGACAGAAAGGCCTAACTACCTGAGAAGCAGCGCTGTAGAGGACCTCCTTCTCAGCAGGATGCTAGGTCGGCGGCAGCTTTTTGCTAGCTGCAGCAGGTAATGTTCCCCCTGTAGCAGGGATTCACGTCTTTCCTTGGGTAGGAGTCTTCAGCTAAGCGAGCAGCTCGGCTTGTCTGCTCTGCCAAGCAGCTGCGCCAGGCGCGGGGCTGGTGATGCGGGCAGGCTCTAGAACTGCTCCTGTTGACGCTTCTGAGCTGTGTGCCGCCATGGCAGCGCCATGACAGCCACATCTTTTACCTGTCATTAGCAGAGGGAAGAGCTTGTGTACCTCTAGTTCATCCTTGATGATTTTAGCATTCTTCCTCTTTAACATGAGAATATTCATGACCAGAAATAACCAATTTCTGTAAAGGATTAATATTTGCATGTGGACACAGAAAAAAAGGCTGTGCACAGGACTATAAAATCACCTGACCTTGAGGTTTTGTGTTCAAGAAAATTCACACTTTTGGACAAGATTTTAGGGATGATTTTTTCTAGAGTACAAGTGCAGTGCTACATAGTTTCAACAGGTGAAATTGTCATCATCAAGTAGGGTTAATGGGGTTAAATGAGTAAGCATAAAAATGCATTTTCAGGCATTGACCAGTAAGGATCTTAAATGTAGTCACACAATTGCTATTTGAATCTAGTAACAGGAAGAAAATCTAGAAATCTACATTGCAACGAGGCCACTGGTTATTGCAGGAGATATCTCCAATGGTGCTTTGCCCGCAAAAATAAGATTTCTGCTGCACTGAGGTTGCGACTCCAGTACACTTTTCAGGTCTCCTTAGAAATCCTCCAAGTTTACAAGCATTATTATATAGACTCAGACACTAAGTCACAGGATATTTTGTGTGTCTCGGTTTCACAGGCTCTTATTTCCTTACCACTGCTCATATTCTAGAAAGCACAGCTATCAGAGATGACTTTCCCCCCGCTGTGATGGTGGACCAGAGTCAGCACTTTTGGTCCCACTGGAGGGCCGTAGCAGTCCCATTAGCTTGTGGTCTCCAGGTGCAACTATTTCAGGACATTGTACCTGTGAGTGTCTGCTACTCATTTAAATTTTTGTTTGTTTTGTTGGCTTTGCAAGCCATCTTGGGAACAAAGAGGAGGATAAAACTTCAGCTCTGAGGTCAACAGTAAATTAGATTTAAGTTTCTTGTCATGATTTTAAGGTCTTTTGCAGAAAAATGGGGCACACTCTCTTTGTACTCACCAGAAGTGGGAATACATGGCATTGTCCACAAAAAGTTGGAGAAAAGCAAAAAATGGATGAAGTGTGGGGAGGTTTTTTTACAATTGGAGGGGAAAAAGAGGAGTGCGACTGGTGTGACTCTTTGTCATTACGACAAATGTTTGGGTAACTTACAGGCTAAGATGCTATTGAATCTTTTCAAGAAGAGAAGGCAGCTGATAGCAGAAGCTCTACGAAAGGGTCCATGCAGCTGCTAGCTTCTGATCCTGCAGCCCAAAATGGCCTGTTACCATTTGCTTTGTTTTAAGACGCTTGTAGAGAAGAGGCTGTTGTTGTGAAGGCACAGAGGCAGCATGAAGCACGGTCTGATTTTGAGTTGTCATACATGGGGACAAAGTGTCAGGACCCCTGGGGCACGTGTTAAGATGTATATTTTGTTTCTGAAAGCACTTTTATCAGTTCTTTTTAAATAAAGCCAACAAGGTTGGCATGAAATTGTGGATCTCCTTCCTCATGAATCCTCTGTGTCTATAGATGGGGAAGAGCACAAGAAAGCCAGAGTTAACAGACAATATCTGCATCTTTGCTACATGTAAGAGACAGCGGGGCATTGTTGGAAGGAGGAATTCAGGACATTCAAAGGATGTGGAAGGGACTGCAAGAAGTCTTTCATACTGCTGTTCAGCTAATTTTTGAGTAAACTATGACAACAAAATGGCTTCCTGGAGACCATGACTGTCTGCCTACAGAACACAGTGCAAGCTGCAAACCTTGTCTTTCCAGTGTACTGCAATTTATCACGATTGCTTGGGATTTACAAGTAGTTGCTACAAAAGCAACTTAAGCAAATAGCCAACTGGACTCATTAAAAGGGAAGATCTCACATAGTGCAGTATTGTCTTTATCCAAATACAGCGAATGAAGAGAGGTTCTGGAACAACGTTCTCCTGAGATGCAGTACAAGGAGCTTAACTGTCTTTGGTAAATTGATGAAAAGGATCATTTGGGAAAACTTTTGTTTTTTACAAAGCAGAGGGATAGATTCATTGACTGGGAAATTCAATCTACTTCTGTGACAAGGATGCCTATGGAGAGGTACTACTGCAGATGCTGCAAGACGTTCATAATATGTTAAATGTTAAAGAGATGATGACATATCTAAAAGGAGAAAGGGAGAATGGATGGAGTCAGGTGAAGGGCAGTAGTGTTAGTTGCCAAAGTTATGTGTTCTGTGAGGTTTGGATACTGTACGGTTCCCTTGTTCAGCTCAGCCTGTCGACTTCAGTGGAAGGTGAAAGGATTAAGTATTATTAAGGTATCAGAATCTGCCAGTAATTCTGTCACTTTGCCTTTTCACACTTTCCTTTCCCCAGAGCTGATTTATATTTCTTCCACTATAGTGCTATAAAAATACTGAGATGAATTTCATTTTTAAAAGGAATAGCTCTTTTGGACATGTACTTTGTTGCCTTATGAAAAACACTTTCCAAATGTTAATTGAGGTTGAAATTGTGCCTGGATCCA